AGGTTGACTTTTCTCCAGTGTAAATAAGATATACAGCAACTGTGGTAACTTTTGCTAGTGTTAGTCTGACACAAGGGTGCCCAGTCCTAGTCTTGGAGATCTACCACCCTGGAGACCTTAGATCCAACACACTTGGCTCTAATCTTCAGATGCCCGTGAAGGTCTTCACTACCTGGATCAGGTGTGTTAGATTGCACTAAACTCTGCAGGATGGTAGATCTCTAGGACCAGGATTGAGCACCCCTGATATGACACATTTACCAAAATTGGATAAATTAATAAGAATTACCACCAAACTATCAACAAAAATTTACTTTAATGAGAGTGAATGTGTTTTGTGCTTGTCTGACTATTTTGCTTCTGTACATACAGACATACAGTATCTGTTTCCTGTATTGGAACATTACAAGCAACAATAATCACCACCAATACAGATGTTAATAAATGTTTCAATTTTGTACTTTTGTCTCTAGTTGGTCAGACAGAGAAGAAAACACCCAGTACACAACCTCGATCACCAGCCATTCCATCCATCTATCCAGTGTCTCTCCTGGTTCTGTTAGTGCTGCTCTTCCTGGCCTTAGTGCTTCTGGTTGTGCTGTTTTACCAGAACAGAGTGCTCAGGAGAGGTAGAGAGATTCAGAGATCATCTACAATCCACTTTCTGTACATTCTCTAAACATCATTAGTCCTTCAATCTGTCATCAGTCTTCTCTTCTACTGAACTGGCTCCATGTTTCTTTCTGTCTCCCTCACAGTGCTCTCTAAGAGGAGCGTAAGACCCTGACTGAGGCAGTCTATGAGGAGATTGATCACAGATTTCTCACTAAAAGAACCACTTTATCCGTTCATAAGGGTGAGTGATATATGAAGCATTTTAAGTTGAAGCCATTTGCATTCAAACGACCAGTTATAGGACATGCTTCCAATTACGCACTTCAAATGATCATTATTTTAAATGTATCCTAAAACAAAATATAATTTTGTTTAATTCTTATAAAAATAATGATTCTGAATTATGCACAGATCACACTTCTTTTATCATTATGGTATGACACTTTTAAAATTGCACTTATAATGCAATTGTAGGTAAATTAGTACTATTAAGTAGTATATTAAAAATTATCGCCGCTGTAGCTGATAGCAAGTTTACTTTTTACTCTAGTAACAGCCTCTACTTTACTGCAGCAACAGTCTCTACTCTTCTGGGAAGACTTTGCACTAGGTGTTAGAACATTGCTGTAAAGATTTGATTGCATTCAGCCACAAGAGCATTAGTGAGATCAAGAACTGAGTTGGATGCTTAGTTCCAACTCATCCCAAAGGTACTTGATGGAGCTCCATCACTCCAATAAATGAAGCCACATTGCTGAACAGGCCAATGCTGGTGCATGTTTTATACCCTCTAGCCAATGATTGACATTAGGCATGGTGACTTGTTCATGTGCGGCTGCTGCAGAGTGTCCCATTCTACTGGCAATGCTTTTCATTATTTAGAAGCAATGTCTGGAAATGGTTTGGACATATAGGGTAGGTGTGTTTACATACCTGTATACAAACCTAAATGGATATCTAAAATTGATATCTAAAATATCACAGCTACAGTTGTCAGTCAGTTCCTTTCCCTATTACAAGACTTAAGGGTTCTGAGATTATTCTTATGTAGAGGCCTGTTTGAATGTCACATTTATTCCAAAATGAATGAAAGAGAAAATAACTTACTTCTTTCTGTTCCAGAAAAGGCTGTGAACGAGGAAAAAGCTACATATTATGATGATGCCACCACCAGCTGTGGCCTGATAAGTTGGTGCCTTTTTTAACAGATGATTTTACTAAAATATATTACAAGAGATTGAAAGAGTGAATGTTTTTTTTTTGTTTGTTTGTTTTTTTTTGTTTTTTGATGTAGGTGAAGTGGAGACAGAGGACACAGCAGAATGTTATGATGATGTCACAACTGCTGGTCAGACACCTGACAGTGCAGAACATATGTTTCTGTTTTGTAATTTTTCAGAAGTGTTCCATCATCAATACTGCAACAGCATGGCAAACTCCTACAAATAAAACCATCAAATTTCTATGTTTAAGGAAGCATATGTAGATGTAAACCATATTTCAATAAGCAAATCTTATTAAAAAGGCTGTCAGTAGACCTGACAAATTATTGCAAATTGTTGGAAGGGTCACTAACCAATATTAATAGCAGAAATTTGGCTTATCTTCTTGTGTAAAGGATGTACCAGAGAATGATGACAATGTTACTGCTGAACAAAACTCAAGCACTATGAGTGTGCAAGTGTGTAATGTAATCATTATTGAAACTAATGTTGGCATTACTTTGACAGAGGGCATGGCGGAGATCTATGATGATGCCATAACTGCTGGACACAACACAACAGGTTTGGTTCTCTTAAAATGCCAATATCATTCTGAAAACAAGGATCTCACAGTAACAATGTCAGATTTTTTGCTCAGTGGCAGCAAAACTGGTCTAGATATGCTGCTGTAGTGTAGGGGCTGGTTGGCATAGTTTTCTCTCTCTGCTGTATATCAAACACACTGTTCATTAGAATAACCTGACTAGCAGCAAATGAAAGCTGAACATCTTAGCTAAAAAAGACACTTTCACCGTTTCCTGACATATATCCTGGAACCACCTTTGATGTCTCTGAATTAGATAGTGAACCACCCAAAGGAACTGAATAGACACTTATGAGAGATACAAATTTATTCTGATTGCATGTACGAACATGTACTAACATGTACGACCAATAGACTGAGAAACTATGTTGTCTTTTATTAATTCATTTATTTTTATTAATTGTATTTAAGCTCCAAGTATATTCTCTTTGTTGTTGGTTTACCACTGAAGTTAAATATGTATACTCAAGTAGCAAAACTCATAAGCTTATTTCTAAACTAAATAGAGGTAAAACTAAATAAAGCTATATAGAATGTATCTTTTTAAACTGAGATAAAAGATAAAATCTGAAAGAACCAAAGCTAGGATAAAAGTTAAAGGAGAACCTACAAGAACCAGATTCAGGGCTAAGTAGGTCTATGACAAGTAAACTTAGGACTTTTTAAGACAAGGTTAGCAAAACTCACAGAAACACATCCACTTTTGGCCTTACTGTGATACGGAGGTAAGTGGACACGCATATCTGATCTTCTCTAATCAGATCTGAGCCACTTTTGTGGTTCATATGTGGTCCTAGATTGCGTACATATTCGATTTAGGACCATGCGACTACAATGAGAATGGTAATAAGACCTAATGAGACGCTCCATGTTGTTGTTATTGTGCGTTTTGTTCATTTATATGACCTTATTGATTAGGATGTACGTACACATGTTGTTTCAGGATACAGGTTCCTCCACACTAAAGGCATGATCCGAGGCTCTCACAAACACACATATGAATCATCAAAGCAGGAAGAGCAAAAATACGTGTTTGAAGCCATACAGAATTATAACACTTGAGTTTGCCTTGCTTGTTTCTACTTGCTGGCTAAAAGCAGAGGACATGAACAGTACATGTGTACTGTGGTAATTCTACTGATAAACATCTGTTTGGCCGTTGAAGCTGAACTGTTTGCTTCCAGCAAAGAAAACCACAGAGCAACAGGTGTTTATATGTGAGGGGGTGGGGGTGGGTCTGAGAGAGAGCTTCAACACTCCCCTAATGTCATCAAAATGCAGGCCATAAATCCTGAGCAATCATTGTTCATGTTTTGTTTGTGTCATTTTCCTTATAAAATATCTGAGTGTGTGTGTGACAATCAAACAGACAGACAGACAGACAGATAAACTAAAACAGACAAGGTCTGTGTATGCATGTGTGTTTACATCCAGTTGGTGGGTTTAGTACTGTGAGACAACAATAACAACAACAATAACACTTAGAAAAGTACATTTCTCAAACAAAATGCAGAGTGATAGTGCAATTTAAGCAATTCCCTGCTATTGCTTGGGTCTTGTTAGATGGTTGATATGGTATCTCTGGAAGTTGCTAGGGTTTTGCTAGAGGTCTGCTATGGTGTTCCAAGTAGTTGCTAAGGTGTTGCTAAGCAATTGCTATGGGTGGTTGCCAGGGTTCTGCTAGGGGTTTACTGTGGTGTTCCAAGTAGTTGCTAAAGTGTTGCTCGCCTCTTGTCATGGTATTTCAAGTGGTTGCTAGAATGTTGCAAAGTGTTTGCAAGGGTGTCGATAAGTGGTTGCTATGACATCCCAAGTGGTTGCTAGAGTGTTGCTAGATATTTGCTGTGTTATTTGATTGCTTGACATGATGTTCCTTAGCAGTGTCTATGATATACCAGGTGGTTGCTAAAATGTTATTAGGTGGTTGCTATGGTATCCATGGTGCTTGCTAGACAGTTTCTATGCTTTTGCAGTTTGTTGCTAGGGTGTTACTATGTGGTTGCTATGGTATCTCTGTTGGTTGATAGAGAGCTGTTAGGTTGTTGCTAAGGTGTTCCAAATGGTTGCCATGGTGTTGCCAAAAAGTTGCTATGGTGTCCCAGGTGGGTGCTAGGGTGTTGCTAAGCAGTTGTTATAGCATTTCTGATTTCTAGTGGTTTTTAGAGTATTGCTAGGCAGTTGGTATGGCATCTCAGGTGGTTGCCTTGGTGTTGGTATATGGTAGCTATGGATTTCCATGTTGTTCTCAGGGTGTTGCTAGGTGGTTACCATGGTATTCCAGGTGGCTGCCAGCATGTTTCTAATGCAATTTTATCATGGTGACATAAGAGGGTTGTACAAACTTTTGGCCACAAAGTTCTGTCATTTATTCCTGAAAAGCTGTATACAAGCTCACCTTTCCCAGTCATTCCATAAATTCTGAAATTGATTCAGTGTCATTACTTCAAAAACTAAACATTCCTTTTCACAGCAACACAGTTTACAATGTCCCACAGCACTCAAAGGATTGTATGTGGTTCTACATAGTGAACGTTTTATATGACTGTTCTCCTCTCCACTAACAGGAAGTATCATCTCCAAAACACAACATTCAGAATATGTGGATGTGGATGAGGAGCTTCTCTCAGGTAAGAGAACTTGTTTGTTCTATATTAGGGCAGTGTTTCCTAAGCTTGATTCTTACATGCTCTAACACACCATGTTGCATTTTTAACCCTTAAATATAAGTTTGCTAATGAGTCAATTGTGTTTTACTTAATTTAGGTTTGGTGGGAACAGAGGGTACATCAGAAAACTGTGATGTCTGTCCTGCAGTGATGAGACCAGATAGCATAGCAAGTATAAATCTGTTTGATTTTGTATTGCAAATTTAGTATGTTACAACCAAACATAACAGATTAGTTACACTTTAGTTTTGGGTGTAAAGCTAAATTTGATATGGATAAAATTGTTTCTTTATTAATTTTCACTTTCAGACTATGATGATGTGAAGTGCTCCCAGAATGAGGGGGACCATGTGACTGAGAGATCCCCAGGAAATGACATTTGAGCTTCTTGAAACTTTTTATCCCCACAATACATTTTTTCATTAGTTTCTAAAAAGTGAGTGGAAGAGTGGAAAAGGTATTGCCTGCACCCAGTGCAACACTTTTTCCACCCTATTGTTATTCAGATAGGTTAATCTACTTTGTTTGTCTTATGTACTTTAAATTGGTTTCTAAGCAAGGAAGGAGCATAAAATTCTTCTTTTTTTTCGTTTCTCTTTTTACATTTTAAACCACTTTTTACCAGTTTATTCACAGAACTGTATGAAATCACAAATGAAAATGTCTAGTGTTCCAGCTGTTTGGACTTAAAGAACAGTTTAGACATTTTGTACACTTTAGTGACTTTACTGTTTTCTATAATATATAATATATAATATATATATATATATATATATATATATATATATATATATATATATATATATACGTTTATATATTATACGTTTTATATATATATATATATATATATATATATATATATATTATACATTTTAAATATATATATAAAACGTATTTTTATGTTGCAGACAAGGACTGATTTTTGCTTTATTGAGACCATTTATTTTAGATATATTAGAGGTTTTGTTTTATTTTTTGCTTTGTTCATTTGCTTATCTTTTGTATGATTTGCTGTTTAAAACATTCAGTGCATGTATCGCTCTGGCTGTGTTCTCTCCTTGTTTAGCATATTACATGTCTATATCACCCACAAGATAGAATGCATACATCAACATACAGCAAATTTGAGTTTTATAATAAAAATGTGACTGTAGTCTATGATTAAAAACTTTGGAATTTCTGGAACATGTTTTTTTTGTTTTGTTTTGTTTTGTTTTTGTTTTTTTTGTTTTTTTTTCCAGTTGTAAATAGCGAAGTGAGTGCATCACATTTTAGTTCCTTATTAGATGATTACCAAAAACTACGAAGCAGAGAGACCTGGCTGGAAGTGCATGATGAAGACAGCCAAGATCTGTATGAAGTCTGGCACCCTTTTAAAGCTTAAAGAGAAGTGACACGTCACATAAGTGCCTGCTTTGATCTGCAGGTTTAGACACAGGAATATGTGACAGTAATGCATTTGATCAAATTGTTTTGTGTTGCCTTTCCCAGAGCAAAAACTTGCATATTGTCATGTTTGTGTGTCAGTGCATTGTACATTCTCACACATATACAGTTTTAACTGGTATGATTATATGTAAAAAAAATAATAATAATAAAAAAAAAAAACGTTGACTTATACCTGTCTTTTATACTGATTCAATGTTTTTCTCTGGTCTGTACTGTGGTCTGTTTACATATAATCTGAACTTATTTAACGTAGAAACACATTTTATTATTTTAGGAAAATCAGGTCTATAAACCATAAGTTCTAAAATAAGGTGTAGAATGAAAGTGGTTGATGGAAACTTCAAGAATCCCTTTATAACAAAATAGAACACATGCTTTCAAACTGCCTAAGTTCTATTTTTTAAGACATTTTATTTCAAGAACAGTTTTATAATGAGTAAATGAGTAAAATGATTGAGTAAAATAGAAAGAAAAAAAATCTTTAAAATAATTGGTCTTTTTGATCTGAAAGTTGTGTCCTCTCATCTTCTCTACACTCAGACTGTTCTTCGACTGTCTTTGGGGAATGAACGCTGTTTTATCAGTCTTTGTTGGGATTAAGATGCAGCATAGATGTCCCTCTCCCAAACTCACTCTTTAACCACTGTCTTTATACTCTGAGTGACACTGGGCCAAACATCAAATACAGCATGTACTGTATATTTTCTATTCTATCTTCACTTCTAATCAAGACTGCAAAGTAAACTAAAGATCAGGTTCATCTTCTAAAATATTCTGTTCGGCACAGTGTTACACAGTTAGAAGGTATCCACAGGTCTATTGCTGGTCATCACAAAGACAGGAGAGGACAGTACAGGAGCATCTCTCAGAACACAGCAGGAGATTCAGTACATTATACACTTTAATCATTAAGGCTAAAATATTAGTACAATCTTACAAAAATCATCACACCATCATTACAGACTTGCAAATAACACAAAAGAGAAAGTCAAAACTCATTTTTCTTACAGCTTCACACAATAATAGGCAATTACTCTATGTTTTATGATCATTTTATGAACAGTTATAATGCTTAGTCAAATTTTTGGATGATAACAGTACAGCTGTCAGTCACACTCTCCCATGTTCCTATTTGAGATATGTAAAAGTAAAATAAACAATGTTTATACTCCATGAAGAATTGTAATCTATAATAAAATGTATTGCATTTTAAGAGGTTTGAATGTAGTTTCCTGAGGAAAAACACTGGCTGTGGTATCTCAGTCACATCATTCATCTCTGTCTGAGGCTCCTCCTCCATGTCGTCAAAACCTGTAAAATGAGTACATTTATTTCAAATAACACATTTTTATTTTATAGCACACTGTATTCCAACAATGTCCAAAAAAACAGAGGTGAAGGTGGTCCAGAAAGGGAAAATCCTGAAAAAAGTAACTTTTGTTTTTGAATTTTGTTCTTACTGTTTACGATCCTCTGAAAACACTTTGAGCTAATTAGTTAGAATAAATTCATGGGGAGGAAGTTTACTTTATGAACCAGAGGCCGTATTACAGAAAATCTTATCTGTTTAGTTACCATGGCAACTTCAGTTAGGACTGAATTTAGGACAGCATAAGTTAGGATAGCATAATGATGTTACATTTATCTATGTTAAAAACAGTGCTTTGACTTATGAGTGTTTTTTCTATCGACGTTTTAAAAACCCCAGATGCTGCTGACTGTGGATTGGTTGTTGGTTTTATATTCAAGATTAGGCACACATTTGCACTTCTGATGTCAATAGCACTAAGAGAGATCATGTAACGAGATTGCTATTTACATATTCCTTCTCCACAGAACACAAGCTCAGGACTACACTATTCCTTTTTACTTTAGTTGCTTTTTGCAACACATTTCCCCAAATTGAATGGTGTATTAAGTGGACCTTCATGTACAAAAGTAAGAGACCGTCATCAAAGTGTGAATCTTTTGAACGTTAAAATCCTAATAGTGTCTATACTGTGGGGCCAGACGAAACTCAAGCACTTAAGACCTTCCTGTAATTGTAACTTATTAGAGCAGCAGAATTTAAATTAAGAGTTGTGTTGATTTATTATTAACCTTCTTTATACAAAAAATTGAAAGCCTCTTTATTGTAGGGCCCAAATTTATAAAACACATTAAATTGTGTTCTATCATTCCAACTTACTACAGCAAGTAAAATTTGAACAAAGTCTAGTATTAAATTGTAACAAGTTTTGCAGTAGCAAAAAAATCATTAACTTGTTTACTGAAGGCTCCAAAATCTGTCAAACTAAATGCACTGAAGAGAACTCTTTTATTATAAATAACAACAGCAAGCAGAATTTCCATTAAGTATTGTGTTGAATATTCAAATATTCAAAAGCTTCTTTACTGTATGAGCCAATGTTGTAAAACCAAATGCATTAAAGAGTGCCCTATCACTGCAACTTGCTATAGGAAGCAAAATTTGAAGAAAGCTTTGTATTGAATTATAATTAATGTTTTAAAAATTAAAAATACAATGAATAATGTAGAGACAAAAACTGTAAAACCAAATGCATTAAAGAGTGTCCTGTTTTTGCAGCTTACCACAGCAAGCAGAATTTGAAATAGCTTCTAAACTGTAGGGCCTAAAATTGTTAAAGCATATGTATTAAAGAGTGCCTTATCATTACATTTAACTACAGCAAGGCCAATTTGAATAAAGGTGTCTGGTGTTTAATTTTAATTATTGAATGAAAAATTAAAAATTCAATAACTTATTTACTGTAGGCCCTAAAATTTTAAATTCAAACAGACTGTAAAGCTTAGTTATTACAACTTACTACAGCAAGTAAAATTTGAATAAACTCATGTTGAATTATAATGCATTTTTCATTAAGAAAAATCCAATAGCTTCTTTACAAATTTGTCAAGAAAAAATCATTGAAAAATACCCTTTTATAGTAACTAACAACAGCATTTAAATTAAGTGATGTATTGAATTTTAATTAATATTAAAGGCAAAAAATTCAATAGCTTCTTAGTAGGAGCCAATGCATTAAAGATTGCTCTATTACTGCAACTTTCTACAGGAAGCATTTTGAAGAAAACCTTGTGTTGAATATTAATGTTTTAAACATCAACAACTCAATAGCTTCTTTACTGTAGGTCCCTGTACTGTAAAACTGAAAGCTTTAAAGAGTGCTACACCAAGCCAAATTTAAATAAACTGAAGTGTGTAATTTTAATTGTTTTTAACATCAGAAACTTCATAACTGCTTTACTGTAAGACCTAATATTTTAAATCCAAATGCATCAAAGACTGTCAAACAACACATAATATTGGAATAAAGAGTTGACAAACAAATACATTTTTTTTTATTTCTATTTGCTGTTTGAGGCTGAAACAAAATTTCTGCAAATACTGTCTGCAAAACATTTAGTTAAGTAAACTGTCATAGTTAAGACACTATTGATTTTGGCTGATAGGTAATGTAATTAAAGTTCCACAAAACTTTTTTCATATTTTTTGCCTGTGGTTTTATAACAAAAGAAAATATTATGCGACTATTTGGGTTGTATTTGTAAGCCTTAAATGAAATAGCAATGGGATATTTGATGGTAACAATTAAATATGGGCAAAACAATTTTTAACCAAGTAGCATTGTAGTATGTTGTACTAGAAGGAAGATCTATGAGACATTTGGTTTTAAATTTGTTCATTAAACAGTAAATAATCTCATTTTTTGAAGATTACACATGAATTTAAATTCAACACAAGATTTTATATGCTACAGGCTGTAGTAAGACAAAAAAAATATAGAATCTGTATTGCAATTAGGATTAGAATTACAGGCTCAATAATGTAGAAGCTATCAAATTTGTTGAGTACTGAAAATTAATTAGGCACAATGCTTAGTTTGAATCCTGCTTCCTGTAGTAAATAGAAATAACAGAATAGTTTTAATGAATTTGGTTTCATTATTTTAGGTCCATTATTTGTGTTTGCAAAATTAAT